TCTCTCTTACTCCCACCCCTCCTCTCTCATGCTCTCACCCCCTCTCTCTCCTCTCTTTCATCCACCCGTTTCTTACGTTCCATTTTCTCTTTTTTTCTTCTTTTTTCCTTTTCTCCTTTCCTTTGATTTCTTTCTTTTCATTCTTTTCATTCTTTTCGTTTCTTGTCTTTTTTCTTTTTTTATTCCTCTCCTTGCTCATTTTCTTTTTTCTATTGCTTTCTTCTCTTTCCTTTATTTTCCTTTCTTTTCTTTCTTTTTATTTCCTTTCCTTTTTTTTCTTTTCTTTTTCTTTCCCTCTATTTTCCCCTCCCCTTTTTTGTCATTTTCCCCGTCGACAGCGCAATTTTACCGACAATAACCTGATAGGTGGAGATGTCGCACCCACCAACTCCCCCTCCCCCCCCTTTAGCGACGCCCTTGCATGGAAACACGTCTCCAGAACCGACCAAAAAAGAGCAGACTACGTACGCGCTGCACTAGCATGCACAACGCAAATAACGTTACCGATGTCTTGGTTCTGCAAGCAAAGCAATCTCATACATGATTAATACAAAATTCGTTTTCTTGCCACTTATTCTCCAATCAGCTACACCGTAAGATATTACGTGATTAATGACACCATACTGTGAGGTGGTCGAGACTTTGAGATGAATGACGGACATACAGATCCTGTGAGAGGGACAAGCAAAGAGTGTCTTTATTTATAGTAGTAACCAGTAACTGATACATTACATATCACATAATATTTTTGATTATCATGGAGATCATGCATCCCTAAAAACATGTCATTTTATTAAGGATAAAACGAGTAAATTTGCCCTTTTAAAACCAATTGCCACAGTACAATGTAGCTGAAACTCTCAACATTAACACAGGTAATACCTGACCCAAATAATTATACAAATATCAGTCAATGTAAAACTCATATAAAGCAACACATTCACAAAGTTGGATAAGCCAACACACCAAGCTAGGTTTAATAACCTTATCATGCGACCTCTATATCACTACTTAATTCTTGTTCAATAAACTATACCTTTAACTTTTACATTGTAATATTAAGACAATGCAAATATCCTAATAACATAAACTTAAATAGGGCTATCCTGGTTCCCCTTTTCAACGTAAGCACATCTTATAGAATGAATAATGAAACTAACAATATTATAACAATGGACCAATGGAACAAAGACAAAATATCAGAATATCCCAAGACCAGAAACATTGATAAATCCTGTAAACAATAAATCTCTTTATTATCTGCATCAAAATAAACGTTCATCAACCACTCCAATCCAACTATTTATCTTCCATACTTTTCTTACTTCCAAATATCTCCTGGTCTAACCCCTTTCACTGCTCTTACTCCTTAATAGTCCATATCAATTTAACCTGTAACAATATTTGTTTATAGCAAACTGCGAAATGATAAATAAGGTTTACAATAATAGAGGGCGCTAGAAACCCTCTTATGACTAAATAGTCAGACAAAGTTCGATCATCACTGTTTGATGTGCTTTATTAATATCCCCTTAGCAACCGATATTCAAACAACATGCAATGCTTTTAAACACTCCACTTCTATCATAAGCATTTCTTTCTATGCTCTCTATACTTCTCACTGACCTCGTTCCTGAACCAAGACCTATACTCATCACAAAAATTAGAGCGTAACCCTGGTCCTGGTCCTGGGACCAGGTAAAATATTAGCGCGCACGCACTACACCCAATGTTGGTACTGCATTCAACTACTAGTAATTAGTGTACATGCCAATGTACTACAATGTAAATTTACCAAATTAATCAAAACGCTAAGTATCTCACATTTTAACATTAAATCCTCGCTTTCGATATAATCATATCAACCCACATGATACATCAAAATAATCACTGAAATCGTTCTGACGCAATCCACATATGTACATAACAAATATTTAGTATAACAATATCAATATCTACTAAACATAAAAGTGGTTCAAGTTTGGTCAACTCACCTGTGAGAGGGACAAGCAAAGAGTGCCGGCTTGTCTCAGCTCTCCGCCCTCTACCGGTCACAGGGTAATTTCCCAACTTTTCCCAATACTTTAATGTTTGGTTGTTGTTGTTAATTACTAATTAATGTGCCAGATTTGCTAAAATGAACATGGGAATCTGTTTTTTTTTTGTAACCTCTTTTTTAATGACTTAATTGGCTTACTGCCCTTTGGGGGAGTGAATGAAACTTTTTTTTTTAAACGAGGTCTAGCTATATAGGCAAGTTTAATAGACCAGTTCACGGTTAGCACATTACTGCAATGACCCCGAATATCCACAGATCTTCAAAACATGAAGAGGTCCCACTTTGTACATTGTGAAATAATCATTCCTACAGCGATGAAGGTGCTATATAACATAGCCTTTGTTTTCCCCTTTGAAAGAATACTTCCACCTGTGTATCATGGATTGCACTGAATGTGCAAGAATGAATAACGATTACATAACTTTCATGAGCACGTATCCAGTATTTCGTCTCCGTGTATTTCACAATTTGTTCTGCAATGACCTTGATCTGCTCATGCTCAGACTGCAACCGTGAACTCGCTACCATCGTCAATGAAGCACGCCATCTGGCGATGATTTATGATAGTGAGAATCAAAGCCTTTGGTACCTTTTTTATGATAATTATTGTTGGACGTATTTTTGATTATTTATGTATTCATTCGTTTAATTTACACAGGGTGACTCTCTCAGTATTTTAACTGTTTTCCTGAGAGGCCCTGTACAAATACAGAGGAAATTGAACACAGTTTAAATACATACATATCTTTATCATATCATTGATTATTTGTTTATGTTCTAGTTTTTCCAATATAATCTGTTGGTCTTGGAAAGCGATTTGACTACGACAACGAGGCTTTTTAATAAGGGGATCCTCGAATTTGTCTTTGAAAGCTTTGAGATTGCAGAAATGACAGGCTTCTTTAAATTGTTTCCATCGTTTAGATTTTTACCAGGTGGTGGAGCCAACTTTGAGCGATATTTGACAAAAACATGAAACCATTGGTGTGAAATATCAGTGAAAAGCCTTTCTATTCAAAATACCAAAGGGCGCATTTCTCTTAACAATTAGAGCAAGCAACAGAGCCACGCTCAACTCAGAAGAGTTTGAAATCTGTGCCTCCCTTAATCTTGACGACATCACGTAGTCAATTCTGCGCACCTCAGAAATTACATCAATAATTAAATTTAATTTCTAATGAAAAGTGTAATCAACTTGGATCATGTGATTGAGCAAGCCTACATTTTTGGTACACACTAGGCATAGACTATTCTTTGTCAAAATCATTTCTAACAAAATGGCTACGAATACTTTCAATCTGTTGTCCCACGCCTATTAATTAGAACTCCCTGCATCTTTAGTGAATAGTAAATAGTGAACTGAAAACATATCTCTACAAATGTTCTTGATTTGTTGATTAGTAGTAGTAGTAGTAGTAGTAGTAGTAGTAGTATCATTATTATTATTATCATTATTATTATCATTATTGTTATTATCATTATCATTATCTTTATTATTTGTTGTTATCATCATTAGTATTATTGTTTAACAGACTAAAAAATTCAAAAGTTTGTTTTAAACACATTAAACGGGAATCAAAACGTAGTAAATATATACGTAAACAGAAATAGGTAAGTGGAAGTGTGTTTTAACAACCAATAACAAGAATGAATTGTGCACACCGCTAACTGTTGGATATGGGGTATGTTCTTCGGGAACGGGTGTGTCTGTTCCGTCAACTAGTTTGTATTGTTTATCTACCCATGCAATATATGACATACTGAAATTTGAGTTGTAATGTTTGAAAATAGGACTTGGTTATTCATTGTTCGCTAGCCTCTTATCTTGTTTCAAATATTGTTGAAATTACTCGCATTTTCTATATAATAAATTTAATTACTTTGACAAGTTTGATAATATTACTCGATCGTTCAATGCTTCTATGCCTGTTTCGCTCGAATCAAATATCATTTCAAATTAGTCGCAATTTGTATAATAAATTTGACTATTAATAGAACTATCACTCATAATGAAAACACCATAGTACACATAAACCTCGTTGACTTGTACCGGTTGAAGAGTCATTTCATTTAACCAATAGAGTTGATACTCCAGTCCAGATATACTAGATCGATGACGGATTGAACAAAATCCCAGAATGGCCAAGCTTTTAAATGGTGTCATTGGGTTTTGAGTTGGTTTAGCGGTGAGATTGTGTTATTATATATTAAAAAAGGAGGAAGTTCATTAAGTGTCAGATAGCTTGTAGAAACGAATTGGCACGCAGAAACACCCACGCTACGAACACAAAACGGCATGATCGTTGATAATCTCAACAATGCATTATGAATTAGAGGTAGCCCGCACCTCTACTTGCGACCGAACATTTGTACCTGCGACAATTGCTTCGGGCTTTATTTTCGTAAAGGTATAGATTTAAGGTTGGGAATGCAATTTTGTTTAGGACTAGTGTCAGAGTTAGGGTTACATATTTACCATACTCTAGGATGAAATAACTATAGAGAGGGTACAATTTATCTCTAACATACTATGTTTAAATACATGGCATCCGCTCATGTTGTGGAAACCTAGTAGAGATTTATCACTCAATTTCTATTTTCTTTTGTTGCACAAATATTTTACAAATAGGATCATTCTCAGAACGTCATGGGGTGATACTTGGCGAACTGTGGACTTCATGTATTGAGTACTCTACAAACAGGCGGTGCCCTGTTGCAGTTTATAGATACAATAAATAAAAAAATGACAAAAGAAAGAGCTTTTCTGGTCGGTCGCATCCCGCATATCACAAGCACACACCTCCATTGTAACCATTGGCTATGACGTTGACATATTTCTATAAGGTTGACTGCACTAACTATATGAATATTTCAAAAGATATTTCTCTCTTTGGGTGAACTTTGGTTTCGGAAAGAGGAATAGGAAAATATAATGTAGCATACACAATCTGAAAAGACGTCGCACACCCATAGTTTCCTGTACGTTAGTTGTATACTCGCCCTTGCTCAGAGCGTGGATAGGACTACTCAATGTTAAAACTATTACCATGATTGTGTGAATGGATTTTAATTGATTATCCGCAATGGATTCTCGGATTTTATTCTGGACTCAAGTCATCTTATTAGTTTCAACAGGATCGGGGATATTAGGACAATCTCCAGGTAAAAGTATATCATTATAGCAATATGAACAGTATTTTTGCAATACACTATAATGCCACGCCTTTGGTAAATTGACGTGTATAAATAATAGCTTATAAGAGAACACTATATTATGATTTAGATACAATTTTACTCACGTTGGGTTAAAAAAGGGATCGTGTTTGTTTGCTTGGAAAGACCTTACCTTAAAGTGGGTAAAATGCAGCCCAAATAAGGCAAGATTTATCCAGTGTTAGGTAAAATTTTACCCAACAAATATGCATGCTCCCTATGTTTTTTTTCACCCAGCACTTTTTGCAGTGTAAAACGTCAATAGATCAAAGGATCACAAATTATAAAGTTTACACAATGCACTAATATATTTAATAATGTCTCATATACTCTACCAACACAATCACGAGCTGTTATATTTTGATCAATTACACTTCAATCACGTGATAGACATAGTTATGCAACAAGAGTAGAAGAACAATAATGTTTTGGATGTGTACATGGAGGTAGAGCAATGTTATGTAAATCCATATCATGATGTAATATTGATAAAATGTACAAATATAATGAATCGAATTCATTTATACCATTCCCTCATGCATGGACATTAGGCATATTCTTTGAATTTAGAATGAAAGAAATAGGAATGTTCAATTTTACTCTACAGTGGCAGTGTTAAATATTCTTGATAATATCTATATCGTGTACTTCCTTAAAAACAGACTATACAAAAGTCAAACTTTCATGTTCGTATACTGTACTGTGAAAATATAGAATTGAGCAATTCCAAAAATAAGCAAAAGGTCAACATTTCAAAACTGACTGAATGTAATATATATATGGTCTCTTTGAAAGCTAGACATTACAGTTTATTTGTTTCTGTTTAGTGACTAATCCATGTTATTCTGTTAATCATTTTTGTTATTCTAAACCTGAATTTCATAGATCCTAATTCCTTTAGTAAACTGAAAGCTCAGGTGAGCTTCAAAACCTTTCAAGCTATCGACTTATTTATTTATTTATTTACCAACAGCAATACATTTCATACATTTTATACAATAATTACATATACAGGAAGAGAAACTATTGGTTGGTAAAAGGGGCCAGATAATAGCACATGTGCTAGTCGAGCCTAACCCCTTAAACAGGTAAACAAAGTATTTTGGTACAAATCAGTTTAGAGAACGTAACAAAACAAAAAATAATGAATTTACCTTTACAATCGATACTTTAAAAAAAAAAAGCATCAGTACTCAACAATGTCTTACAATATACAAACTAATAATGTAAAATATGAATTATGAATTGGTATACTTGATATTTCATTCATGACTTCTCCAACAAATGACTTGTAACAGAATTCCGAAACCTGTTTCTAGACCTTGTCAATCTGACATCAACAGGTAATCTATTCCAAAATTCACTGCCCACAAAAGACAATGAAAATTGACCTTGTGTCGTTCTTAATTTTGGAAGACGTAATTGTCCATCTTCTTTTTGTCTTGTGGAATAGCTATGTTCTATAATGTCACAGTACTCTATCATTATTATTATTTCACATGTAAATCAGAAATATCATTAGAAGATTATATATTTACGTTCTTGAAATCAAAATTACTAGGTGTGTACAAATAAAGTATTCATATTGTATGTCTTTGGGCTTTCGATGTGTATTTTTAATTAGTCGTTACAGTCTTTAGCTTCATGTGAGTACATGTATTTGTAAATTTGTAAAAGAAGTCATGTTCAACCTGAATCTACTGAATTTGAAAACAGATTGAATCTAATTATAAGACCTTAACGATTGTCATTAAAGATAAAGTTGAGTTCTGGTCATGCGATTGCCTTGTGAAAGAAAAGGTGTGGAATGGATCAGAAAAAGTTGATCATGTATCATGTCAGTATTGGAGTTTACTGCAAGGTTCTGGAATCATCAAAATCATAATAAATTTGGCCCAGTCTTGGTAAAGTAACGAGCACTGTACACAGAAAGATGTATATGGGACTACACAAATGGTTTCGGGCGTACTTACCTTGATTTCCTTATCTTTCTATGCTCATGACTCAGCCAGTATACATTTTATACCAAATTCTTTTGGCAAATTACATTTATATGTAATCTTGAACATTCAGTGTCAGTTCCGTTTGATTCTGTGAGAATCAATTTTCTTTTTTTACCAGACATCAAGTTTATCAAATCTTCGAGTTTGAACCATTGTACAAATTTCTTGATTTTTCTGCGATGTGAATGCTTCTAGAGGACATGGATTTTTCGAGTGAATAAAGTGTTTGTTTGTTTTTCGTTACAATTTTAATGGTCATAGACATCCATGAAGTTTGTTTGGTTGTTTGTCAGTTTGTGAAATCAACAGGGATAATAAACCACAAATAAAATGTTCATGGTCATACGTTCAGAGTCCGGAAAGGTGCCAAATTTAGTTAACTACAGTTCATTGTCTGACACAAAAGCTCTCACAAAATTCAATTTTATTTGAAAGAATACAAACCAGACATAAATTATTGTAGGTTTATAAACAAATAATTTGTAGATGTTGTGCAAGTGTTGTTTAAAGGTGATCAGATATACAGGATTTGTTCAGTTTGCATATTAAATGCACATTCAAACCCCTCATAATATTCGTCCGTCCGACCCCACCCCCCTCCCCAAGATCAATCCATATCTATAATATGGCAACGTAGATCAACATCTTTTCCCCATCTAGTTAAAGAGTGCTTTCTTAGAAACCAATTCATACAGAAAATGTAAGACTTGGCTAATACAAATCACAGATATTTTAATTTTAACTCAAATAAAAAGTTTAGTTCTGGTTAAACGGTGTGGAATCGATCAGAAAAATTTGATCACGTAACATATAAATATTTATGTATACTGCAAGGATCTGCAATCATCAAAATGATAAGAAATTTAGCGCAGTCTTGGTATTAAAGTAACAAGCACTGTATACATAAAGATGAATATGGGACTACACAAACATTTGGCATAAAATAAAAACGATCACAATGACTTTCACCTCTCTCCAGAACTTAACCTTATCTTTAAGTTGAAAGTTACGGAAGTGGCCTTTTAAAAGAACACTATATCCAAGGTCGTGTGTTCAATCCTCGTTGTGTGATGACCTCTTGAGACAAGATGTTCAACCCATATTTGACCTCTCGACCCAGGCATATTAAATGCGTATCTGGCAATGCTGGGTTGATAACAATTGCAGGGTTTGTAGGAGGAGCAATATAGTAAAACTAAAGTCGCTACACCGGCCATTGATTGTACCACATTATTTGTAAAGCGCTTAGAGACATTTGTATTAGCGCTATATAAAAATTAAATATTATTATTAATATTATTATTATCAATGAATACTTAGAATCAAATCTAGTCTACTGACGTGAGATATTCGAAAGGGAATTACATTGTTCTGAGTTAATTTCCTTATTCTTCCGATAGAGGGCTGATTGGTAGTGTTTAAAACTATTTACATATTTTGTCTTTCTTTCTGTAGGTGATGTACGACTGGTTGATGGTAGTTCCACTCTGGAAGGAAGGGTAGAGGTGTATTATGATAACCTTTGGGGTACGATATGCAACCGAGGATGGGATAGTACAGACAGTGGTGTAGTCTGCAGACAGCTAGGTTTGTATGAAAACTCGTCATGTTTACAATCCAATAGGCTGAACAATAGTAATTGAGAAGCAATAATGTAAATATATGTAAATAAAAATATAAAATATATTTTCTTTTTAATACAATATATTTGCTTTTGGACCAGACAAAATAAGGAAACCAACACAACTTCCTAAAAATCACTTTCTCTGAAACTACTCTGAAAATACTCTGAAATATGAGACTGTGACTGTGACTAAAAGGACGTGAGTCTCGACTACTATAGCTCAATTTCTTCATATTAATATTCTTCAATCTTCTTCTTCTTTTACCTTTTTTTTTCTCTTCTCCTTTTTTCTTCTTTAACCTTTTTCTTCTTCATCTTCTCATCCTATTTTTTCTTCTTTATTATATCTTTCTTATTATACTTCTTTGAATCGACTTGATTTGAATTTTTAATTAATCTGTGTAACTATAACAAAAGTCTTCTTCAAAGCCATTGGTATGAATTCAAATGAGTTATACAAACGCAGATTGCAATGTAAATAAGATATCAGAAAGGAAGTACAAAACTGCCTTGAAAGAAAGGATTTGTAACAAGAGAGAATGGGAAAGAGCAGGGAATGCTGAAGAAGAAAAGATCATTTTTGTTAAAGCATGGAAAGGGAAATGCCCAAAAGAAAAGAAATGGGGAGAGAAAAATCATAACACCATGTTTTTTATTCTTAATTATTATTTCTCAAACATCATTTTGAATGGGTAGCTCGTCATAGCCGAAATGATGTTGAATAGTACATTTAATAATTTAATACAGATATAGCTATTTGATATGTGTAAATCTCTAACCCATCATCCTTATAAAACATTACTGTATGTCCCGGTTACGTTGGATTGTCTTTGTAATATTTGTAATGAAACATGAAGATATTGTGTCGATATTGCATGTATTTGGAAGTAAAGGAATTATAGACACTCAGAAGCATGGATCAATATTAAACCAGGGCTCCCTATGATGAACTGATTCAGGCCAGGTATTCCAACATTGTTCTATTTTGCTTTGTTTATTTCCATTTTGTGGAATGAACACCCTTATTGGCACAAAGGTTGTTTTACACAGGACTCCAATTTAGACTGAACAGTGGTTTTTCGTATTGTGAAATGTCCATTTTTCATGTTTAATATAGGTTTTCAAGTTTCTTTGAGTAGTCCAAGTTTCGGGCCTGGCATTCCAACACAACGTATCTGGTTAGCTGACGTACAGTGTGAATCATCCGACCGACGTCTGAACGAGTGTGTTACAGACGGCCAGTGGGGACAGACCTCTACATGCCCTCATAACAACGATGTAGGTGTTAGGTGCTCAGGTAAGTCTTCAAGCCACGTGGAATTACCTTTTATTTCCTCAATAATCTACATATCGAAACTGATAATCGACCTGTGTCAACATAATTATTTTGTATGTATGTCTTCTTTTTTTTTCTTTTTTTTTACTCTTTAGGTTTCTTTAAAGGAGAGAAATATTTACCCCGAGTAGACCAAATGTATTATTTGTATGATTAACTCCGTAAACAAAGGCGAATATTTATTCCAACACAATGATACTCACAAATGGTTAAATCCTGTTTACCCGTCTCGAAAAAAGAGAAAAACGTATGACTACAGTCATTGTACATGTATTTGTTTTCCTTCGTCATATTCACTTTGTTATTATTCCTTATTATTGTATTACTAGTATACGAAATAATAAATGCTATATGAAGTTCAATACAACAAAATATATAAACCGACAGATTCAACATTTTCCCGATTGATGTTATATTTTACTGAGACCAGAGGCCGAGTTTAAAATTATAATTGCACGTGAGAATTCTGAATCTTGAAGTGATTATATTTCATTGAATGATGCTATGCATTCATTATTTATGCTACTTGAGAGTTGCAATAGACGTATTTTCAACAGAAACTTTAAATCTTAATTTGTTTAAACGTAATCCATATTTATTTTTTACACCTTTAATAGGCTTAAACGTTGGGATCGCGCCAAATTACCAAGGGTGCTACCGTTTTGAAGACATTCCTGTATCAAACACAGCAATTCGTTTCACGTCAAATACTATTGAGACTTGTTTAGAAAGCTGTTCAATAAATTTTATGTTTGCTGGTTTATATGGAGAGACATGTACTTGTGATGACCAGGTAAATCCTTCAGCCCAGCCTGTTGATAACAATATGTGTAGAATGCCATGCCCAGGTAACTCTGCCCAGCTGTGTGGTGATGATGAAGTCAACATGGAATTCGTATCTGTTTATTCTGGTGAGTGTTTTCATATCTCAAAATAAAGAAATCATTATAAAATTAAAATATTTGAATTGTAGTCTAAAACAATAATGAAGATAACAAATTAAACGAATACACATGTAACATTCTAGGCTTAGGTCTCCTCGGAAAAATTGTCCAATTATTGTCATCTTCTTTCAAATAACTGTTCTTATCCAAAACCCATTGAACTAATATCGTAATGTCATATCAGTCGTCTGTTTAATAATAGCCAGAAGAGTGTTAACTGATATCATTCTAAATATAGTTAATGCCCTTTTGATTCTCAACAGATCTCACACATTCAACAATTATTCCTGATTTCAAAGGTTTAATGAAATATCTATTTAAGCTGAACCTGACAGTCTGACAATTAATAATCTTGTATGGTGTTTCATTTTTATTTTATTTAAACTTCCATTTTCATTTTAAATCATCTAGTGTCTGTTGGCGATGGCTACGTCTCATCACCATGGTTTCCTGGTAATTACGTCCTTTCAAGTACTGATACATCCCAACCAGACAACCTCACCTCCAGTACCGATGTCACTGCGTCATCAGGGATGCTCTTGATTCGAATCCTGGCTTTCGACCTGGCTCCTGGAGACACACTGAGTGTGGAGGTAGGAGGTATGACCATCAGCCCTACAGAACCTGGAGAAACCATGCTGTCTGGGCTACCAGATACGGCACTGGTTTTGACTGCAATGTTGACGAGGGCTGCGAACTCGGCTGGAGCATCGGGGTACCTTATCACCTTTACCAGTGAGTTAGCCTTTTATTGCCGGAAAAAAATCAACGTTTGGTGTTTTTAACGCTTTCAATTGACAAATAAAGACAATTTTCATACGAGATCGTTTTTACTTCACTATATAAAAAAAGGAAGTAATTTCTAAAAAAAATTCCAGATGACCTTCAGTGTTTAGTCCCTTCCGTTGGAATAGGATGAGTAGCCTTTCTAGTTAGTCCTGAAACATTCACTCTATCGAGTCTCCCTCCCTTTTATTTGCGTAAATTAGTAAAGACGTATAACATTTTTTTTCAAGTACAAAGTAAAATTAAAGAATTGTTGTAATCAACAAGTGGTTAATTCAAATGATTCCCAATCCAAGGGTAGGGGGGGGGGGTGGGTTCAAATCTCAGCTAGGCACAAACGTCAATTGGCAAGACATAAATCCACTTTTACCACTACCCCTCCCTCTCCCCTTGTAGGTGTACATTGTTAACCTGGCAATCATAATTATTATCATTACTATTATTTATTATCTTTATTATTAGTATCATTATTATAGGTAGTAGTAGTGGTGGTAAGAGTAGTAGTATTAGTATTAGTATTAGTAGTAGTAGTGGTAAGAGTATTAGTATTAGTATTAGTAGTAGTAGTAGGCCTATCATTAAAGTTGTTATTCTTATCATTATATCTTTATTTTTATAATCATTATTATCATCATTATCATTATACAGTAGATCCAACCACAACGATGCCTCAAACTATGCCGACTATATTAACCACCCCGACGACTACAGCCCCTGTCACCAAACCTCCAAACCCATGTAAGCATTATGCCCATCGGACACCCTGCGTCATTTTGATTGCGCTATTACCAGCGCTAATTAAGATTATAAAAATAATCGGCACAACACTTTTGAATTCAACACAATGTTTCCCTGTTCATTTTTCTACTTGGTTTATCATTGTGGTCTCACTTTCACGAGCACATCAATGACATCTACAGTCACTGACGCAGTCCTCCATCAGTACATTGACGCCTCGTGTGCAATGGGCGTTAAAGGGCCTTTGATATAAAACATCCGGTAAAGCTGCAAACCGCTTTTCCTTTTATTTCTCAAATTAATGCATGAATGTCTGATACTCATTTCTTACTCTCTATTTCATTACACTGCTCATTAAGCCAGTTGTTTTTGGCTTCGTTACTCCTCTTTCAGATCTGTTTATCTAGATATCCATAGGCTTCTCCATTCCGTTTCTCCTCTCGCCCCTTCGCCATCTATCTAAGTATTTTGGAGGGTATCAATTTCTTTTTCTTCCTCATATTCTTTTTCGGAAGAGTCTTATAAGCACAGTGGGGACAGCTTCAGAAAACCTTGGTTATTGAAACTCATTTCCTGTCTCCACCTGTAACATGTTAAACCCATTTTGCACTGCCACTCTGTACTTTTCCGTCACTTCTTTGCCCTCTCTTTAATAATAATAATAATAATAATAATAATAATAATAATAATAATAATAATAATAATAATAATAATAGCTCACATTTATAACGCGCCTCGTACTTTGTTTCTAGGCGCAGCACACATTAAAAAGTCAAGTTCTAATCGCTGGCTTGCCTCCGTCTTCTTCAACTTTCTTAGCATGACATGCATGTGACTGATGAGGAGAACATGGTCGATTTGGCATTCAGCTCCGTGATATCATTTAGCTTGTCGTATGGAATTTCGGAATGTTCTGTTCATGTTGATGTAGTCAATCTGGTGTCTGGTTTTGTCGCCTGGAGTTTTCAAAGTCCACAGTCGTCTCGGATTTAAAAAACAACAACACATGTTTGTGTAAATGGTGACTTGTAAACTAATTTATCTCTATACTCTTTCAGTACTACTACTGGTTCAAAGTCCATGAGGTCCTACTGTGCTATCAGCCGTGGTGAAAGTTATTACCTGTGACTTACAATGCTTCATGGCCTTTTCCAAATCCTCATAGAATTTGTCTACATCTTCCTCTGAATGAGCCGTAGTATAGGTGCGTAAACCTGACTAATATACACATTGAAAGGTTGACCCTTCAACTCAACAAACATCACTCTATCTGATAGAGACCAAAAGCCAAGTAAACATCTTGATGTAGCAATCGAGAATTTGATATAGCGCAGCCTCCGGCCGCTACCGTTCGCCACACTTTTGATTTAGGACAAGTAGCAGTAGATAACTCATTACTCCGCAGGCTTGACTGTATTTAAAACAGAGCATCCAATATATCTAATATCAGTAGGTACCTTGTCAATGAATACAAATAACATAATCGAGCTCTAATCGAGAACTAATTATCCAATTAGCCCCTACTCGAATGTCATGTATTTTCATCAAAGACGGCGGATGCTTTCAATTGATGTAGAAGACATTTTGTATTTCCTCGTGCAAGTTAAGGATAATGGTGAGTTCTGGTCATCCGAGTGCATTGTGAAAGAAAAAGTGTGTAATGGATCAGAAAAATTTGATCATGTAGCATGTAAGCATTGGTGTGTACTGCAGAGTTCTGGAGTCATCAAAATCATGATAAATTTGGCCCACTCTTGGTAAAGTAACGAGCACTGTACACAGAAAGATGTATATGGAACTACACAAATGGTGTCGGGGCTACTAACCTTGATTTCCTAATCTTTCTATGCTCATTACTCAGCCAGTATACATTTTCTACCAAAATTGTTTGGCAAATAACATTTATTTGTAATCTTGAACATCCAGTGTAATTTTCGTTTGATTCTGTGAGAATTCATTTTCTTTTTTTTTACCAGAACTCACCTTTATCTTTAAGGGCTTTTATATAACGCAAGAGAAACAAACTCTGCCCATCATTTTTTGTATCTTGATAATTGTTCTATTTACTAGAGGAAAATAAGGATCGTACTGTAGAGAGTGAACAAAAATATAACACATTCGCATCCAACCGGGTACCCAGTTAACACCTGGGGGGGGGGGAGGAGCTATGTAGGTAAAACTCCTTGCTCATTGACCTCAGTTTCGTGCATGGGCTCGAACTCACGTATGACCTCGTTTGGGATGGATGAAATATTCATTTGACTACTATTTCAGTTTCCAACATAGTCTTATGAAAAATATAGTGCCATCCCAAGTTTTTATCTTTCAATATCCTTTCTCTTAAAGCCAACATGTAGACAAGACACTCAAATTAATCAGTGTTCTAACCAATCTTCCTTGTCTCTCCATTCTTTCCAGCTTCCACACCATATGCTGTTAGACAGTGTATGCCATGGCTTATTCCTGTGTTAGCTTCTGTTATTGTTTTGCAATTCATCGTCATATCTGTTCTGCTAACGCTGTTTTGCTACCAGCGAAGGTAAGTACATCAACCAACACATCAATAAAAGAAACTCTTGAAACAACAAACTGTCATAAAAGAAAATACTTCTTTCCTTCGAAAATGTGATATATTTTTTTCGTTAACTGTTACTCACCAACACTTTTTTATTTCCAGACTAACACTCCTTGTATATGAATAATTTATCATATTCTATTATGGAATAAATCATTAACACATTATTGTTTCTTTCTTTATTGAGAGTGGGAGGGGGCTCAACTTCTACGACAAAAATGTTACATTTAACAGAGGGCAGGGTATATGATTAAACAATTCCGCAAAGACAAAGGTAAATTTGTTAATACTTACGCAACATACGCTTACACATTGAGATAAAAATAGTAACCTACAAAATAGATCTTCTGGAGTAAGACATTCAACATGCCAAATGCTATTAAAAATACTGCTCCTTAAATATTGCCATATTTTGTTCAATTTTGTCCTGCATGCCAAAATTAGTTGTCTTAAAAATATTAGGTTTTATACCCGCCCCCCCCCCCCCCCCACTCAGTGCTATTTAGGGTACGCATATGCGTGTTCCAAGCGACCCCCCCCCCCTTTCAGCAAAAGTCCGGTGTGTAAAGTCAATACGGGTCGACCTTTTTCTTTTGTTATACGAGCCTTTTTCAGCACACCCCCCCCCCTCCCTTTTCAGCAAAAGTCCGGTGTGTAAAGTCAATACGGGTCGACCTTTTTTTTTTGTTACGAGCCGGAGAGTTTAGGAACACGCATGGTATCCCTCCGTTCACGGAGTGGGGGGGGGGGGGGGGGGCGGGGTAATATATTGCCCAGCGTAAGGTTAATAAATGTATCTAACCAATTTCTTTACATATCCAGAGTGATATTGTCCAATTAGGCTCAAAATCAGCCATGGACAAAGAAGACAAAATACTTGACGCAACAAACAGAGTTGACAAGGACTTAACTCCGTTTCGTTGACAATCAGCCATGCACAAGGAAGACGATAGACTTGAAACATGGCTGATCGTGAACTAAACGGAGTTAAGTCTTTTGTCAACTCTGTTTGTTGCTACGGCAGGCAACCAGTGAAAACCAATTTGTTTCATTAAATTATGGAAATGCAAGCATCACTTTTAAAAAACAGAACTTTGTTATTCCTGGCTCATTTTTCCTGATTGAGGTGTCATATGAAACGGCAAAAATGAACTTTCTAGAAATGTGATTTTCCCTTTGAAATTCAGATACCGCCCGCCAAATGACTTTTTTGGTACCCTCTCTTCAAATTGTTTTTAATCACTCATGCGTTAAATATGCATCATATGAGTTGCATCGAATGACAGAAGAGGATCTAAACTTTGCAAATGTGTGTCATTTATTAATTATAATATTGATTAAATTATGATTAAACATCGATAATTGTCGGTTTCGTTTTTTCTCTTTTTCACTTATATTAATAATGATTAATGATGAGATTGATAATGATGATTATGATGAAACGATGATGATAGTTTCTATAATCATGTTGATGATGAGGATCATGATGGTGATGATGATATTGATGTTGGTGGTGATGATGATGATGATGATGATGTTGAGAACGATGATGTTGATAATAATGAAAGTATTTTGAATGATGATGGTAATGATGACGGTGATGATAATGATGAGAATGACAATGATGATGATGATTAGAATGATGTCGATGATGATGGAGATAGTGATTAGAATGATGATGATGTTGATGATGATGATGGAGGTGAAAATATTGATGATGACGAGAATAATGATGATGATGATGATGGTAGCGATTTGAATGATGATGTTGTTGATGATGATGGTGGTGATGGTATTAATGATGATGATAATGATGATGATAGTGATTATAATGTTGATGATGATGATGATGATGATGTTGAGAACGATGATGTTGATGATAATGAAAGTGATTTGAATGATGATGGTAATGATGACGGTGATGATAATGATGAGAATGACAATGATGATGATGATTAGAATGATGTCGATGATGATGGAGATAGTGATTAGAATGATGATGATGTTGATGATGATGGAGGTGAAAATATTGATGATGACGAGAATAATGATGATGATGATGATGGTAGCGATTTGAATGATGATGTTGTTGATGATGATGGTGGTGATGGTATTAATGATGATGATGATGATGATAGTGATTATAATGTTGATGATGATGGGGATGATGATGTAAATAATGATGTTGATGATGAAGACGATGATGATGATGATGATGATGATGAGGTGATGATGTTGATGATGGGGATGATGATGTTGATGATGATGATAATGATGATGGTCATGAAGTTGGTGATAATGATCCTGACGAAGATTTTGATAGTGATTTAAATGATGATATTGACCATGATGATAATGATGATGATGATGATGAAGATGATAGTTTTTAGAATGTTGATGACGATCATGATTATGACGATGATGATGATGATGATGATCAGAATGATAATGATGATGATAATGTTGGTGATGATGATAATGACGATGATTTTGATGATGATAATGGTGATAATGATAATAATGATAATGATGATGGTAATGTTTATAATGAGAATAATAATGATGAGAATGATGCCGATGTGTTAATGATGATGATATATATTTTGTATTAAAGCTGCGCTTTATAAATGTATTATTATTATTATCATGTTGATGATGGGGCATTTGACCAAAATCAAGAAGACATTAACTGAGTTTTTATTATGATCTTTAATTGTGGTGTTTAACCCTAGTAACGCTGGGCCATTATGCCCCCCCCCCTTGTGTACAAAACATATTGAAATGTCATTTTTCCTAAAAATAAATCGAACATTGGTTATTGGGTCTTGTTTAAAGTTTAGGTGGTTGTTTTGGGAGTCAAAACAGTTGAATTGTAGTTAGAAATGAAATAAAACAACAAAAACAATAAAATACTAAGTTTAAAAAAACAATGAAATACATAAGAAATTATCAAAACAAAAGATAGCATATAAAGGAATAAGCTGGCTCTTCCAAATGTTTTGTCCTATTATTTCAAATTGTTTAATGAATATATGTAGTGAAAAAAGAATGCTTCAATATGAATAATATATGATTTATGGGTAAAAATGTGATTTATGACCATATTTGCATAAATTACCATAAATATGCAAATAAGTGAATTTTACAAAAAATTCATATTATCATAGTATTTTATACACTTCAATTGACATGCGTGCTAATTTTCACGGAGATCGGCCGTTTCACGGCCGAGATCTTAAGAGGAACCATAATGCCCCCCCCCCCCCGCCATACTAAGAACTCAAATAGCCCGGCCTTTTTAGGGTTAAGGAAAGTATAAAAGCTAAATTGAGGTCAATAATGGCTAAAAAAAAATTGAATTTGCAAAAAATAGTCTCAGCAACATTTGAACAAGTTAGATTAATATATTCAGTACGGACGGCACACGTAAAACACGCGCATATGAATCCGCGCTCGCACAATTTTATAATGTTACATAAAGGTCTGAAACGTGTAGTAAATTGGTCCAATAAGCATTGTTGACCAATTTCAAATTTCGACGCACGCGTACGCGCCCGTCTTGATGCGCTCACGGACATGGGTTTGACCAAAGGGTGTGACCTTACAAAAGTTTATCCATGACGTCAAGTTTATGCGTATGGAATATCCTTCAGAAATGATATTGTATGACGGAAATATGGTCAATAATAGAAATTAACAAAATGTCGCCTAGATGACGTCACGCATCAGTAATAAAGAAAAAGTTATCGTCGTAAGGATCAATTATAATGCATAGGCACATGTCATTCATTAGGTATGGAGCTAACGAAATCCATACAGAAAGAAAGGGTAACCAAAAAAGGGGCAAAGGATAGATTCTGACGAAATCAATAGGTGCTCTGCCACGCTACACGGCAAATCACCTAAAAATGATCGGGTATAGAATACATCGACGATGTTTCAAAGCGCTTCACCCCGGTACTAAGATTCAGGCTTGCCCGCTCACAATGTATCCACCTTTTCCATCCACTGGGGAGCATTTCAGCGCTTTTTTAATGCTGAGCAATGAAACTACAAAGACGTATGCACCGGCGTATGCACCGGCGTATGCATCATACCGGGTACCCATTTAATACTTGGATGGAGAGTGGTGAATGTGGATTAATATGGATTTATTCATGTGATTATTTTGTCTGTAACAGACGCAAAGTACGAACCAGGACGGGCGAGAACGAACCAGATCCTTACATGGACCTACAACCCAGACCCGAGGGAGACAGGACATACCAGGAGATGGCTATCACCTCAACGGCTTCGTCCAAAACACCAGGAGAAAGACGTCTACCATCACCAAACCTGATTTATGAGAACCAGAATGTTTCGGAGATTGCACACAAAAAAGAAGAGGGTGCTCATTTTTAGATTGTACTTCCCTAAAATAAAAATAATTAGAAGCTTTAGAAAAACACAATATAAATGTCAGCAATTTTACGTATCTTCATTTTACTGAGAACAACATCAACAGATTAATTCTTCTTTTTTTTAATTCCGTTTTGAAAGCAATACAAAAATAATCTCACATAACGTTTACATTTGCAAGAGTAACTGGAAAAGAGGGATTCTTTTTAAAACGATTCCATTCAATTTTATGTAATTCAGTTTACAAAAAAGCATTACATGTAACAATCAGATATATTACATAAAATACACATGAAGAACATATTGGACTAGCACATAAAACAAACTTAATAGGCTGCAACCTGAAAGGATATATAATCCTTATAAAGGTTGACCCATTTTCGATAATAAAAAATATGACATATATTCGTTAATGAACATTATTCGAGACACGAATAAACAAAATAAAAAACATAAATACAAACAAACCATACATTTCTTGATTTCAAATGATTAGTGCAATTTACCCAAAATAAATGTTTATACCTACGTTTTAATACATTTACACTAGCAGAATTATGTATGTAACGAAGAAGAGCGATCCACGGAACGGCCCTTTAAAATAATTCGTTTTTGGTTGAGTACTGTACGAATCAATGGCAAATGAAAAAATTGAGCATTTATAATTATTACTATAACTATGAATATTACAGTTTGATATACAAAATTTGAGAATGGAATCACGAAAAAATTTTATGATATAAATGCTTCAAATCACCTACTCGTAATGATTATACATCCCTTTATTGTAACATGTTTAAGGAGTAAAATATTTAATTGGTATTGGCAAGAAAAGAAGAATGATTAATAGTTGTTATTGCACGTTTTTGTAAATTAAACAATCTATCTTGATGAATTAAAACAGCATTGCCCCCAGACAATGATAGCATAAGGAAAGTAAGGGTACACAATTGCATAGTATGTCATTTTGAGAAAACTGGTGATGACGATGGTGATGATGATAATGATAGTGATTAGAATGTTGATGATGTTGATGATGATGATGATGATGATGATACAAATGAATATGATGATAATGATGAAGTAATGATGATAAGAATAATGATGATGATTATAATTATGAGAAGGATGATGTTGTCGAGGTTGATGATGATGATAATGATAATGATGAAGACGATGATGATGATGATGATAATGATCATGATGGTGCTTTAGACCATTATCATGAGAACACTAACTGAGTTCTAGTTGGATCTTTAAAGCATACAACCCCAAAAACCAGGCTCTACATATGGAGGCATTTCCACTAAGACACTTAAACCTAAACCAAAGATATTGAACACCATATTGATTATGAAGAGTATATTCATTACTTTAATACGTCCTGAAATACGTCCGGAGGCGATGGCACAACCGAAAAACGCTTAAGCCTCAAATCCAGAGGCTAATGAAGCTGTCGATGTCAAGAATGACAACCAAGGTCCTTTATTCGACGTCTGAATGAAGACGAAGATGGTGGATGTCCACCCCTGATCATGAACCCAATCTAAAACGAAATGGACATCGGGAAACAAGACTCGGTGTCATATGGTGACCTGGTTGATAAACCTATGTACGGATATCAAAGGGACAATCTTCAAAAGGAAGGCGTGTCGAAGATGGTGTAATTCAACATCTAGCCAAGGGAAGCGTCGTTTACACTCTGGCTAACAAGTAAACTAGCGTGAACTATCCGGTCTCCACCCTTTGAACTCGCCCCAGATCCACCCTCCCCAACCGATACTTACTCTCCCCGAGACTACATGGAGACTGGTAATTGTGACTCCATCACCTTCAATGAGGTGGCGCAGTATAATGGCCATGTCAAAAACCTCGGTAACGAGGAGAGACAGGCTGTAGATGAACTTGTCAATGCTGTCAGAGACTATGATGGTAGTCCAAGTACTGGTATATATATTGTTCGGTGCCTCCAAAGACATCTTCGAAGTGGGTCTACTTTGTCAGTGATCTCTAATCCAGGCGGTGTTACTTATGGCAGATCAATCATCAAGCCCGAGATACAGCGGAAGCCTTAAGCTATGATCACAGCTCAGAGCGGCGACTGACCGACTTGCAGCCTGTCCGGTCGCCGCTGGAATGTAGGCAATCGCCAAACGATTTTTGGAGAAGTCCAGCAGTCTGAAGAGCGTTTTTATCAGATAAAAACTGTACGAAATCGGGAAGCTTCTCCGGACGGCGCACATTGGGCCAGGGAGGAACCAAAGTGCGCCAAAACTAAGTTTGGGTGATTTTTTTTTTCTTCAATTTTTTTCTTGCCCAGTTGAAAGGTAATACATAGAGGAATACCTCAGTGAAATATTTAATTCGGGTATGCACAAAAAGGGTATAAATTTACTACTTCAAACAGCAAAATCCTACATATTCACAGTTTTAGTGCAAAAGTGACTTATTTTATAAATCTTTCAATTCAACATGAATTTTTTAAGTTATTGATATGAAATTGTTCTCACATATTCCTGATAGTTCATTTCGTTGAATGAATGGGTTAAAATTAATAGAAACACAATCTTCATGACATATTTTAGGGTAATTCACTGAAAAATTAAAACGGGACACAAAGGACATTACTGACATAATATGATAAGACAAGACATGACAAAACAATTCATAACAGGACAAGATCATCCCCGAGATAAAGTGGTTTTGACATGTATACCAAATGCTATTACCTTTATTCAAGATTATTTCTCTGCAAGAATCTATCCTCCATCTGCTTAATTCTCTTTTTGTTTAATTAAAAAAAATATCTAATCATGTCCTTCAAATATTTAACCTGTGCAATGACAGCTATTGCACTGAAATATTTTATTTAGGGCAGGTCACAATATGTTAATACAATAGGAGAGCTGTAAAACGTATTCTTATTCTTTGATTTGTAAAATTTCTTCTTGCTCTCGCAATGTTATCAGTCATGACGATTTACTGTAAACCCAAAAAGTAGCCTGCTCGGCGGCCGGGCGGCGAGTTTTTAGCCGATTTCGTCCGGGCACCGAGCGGCGGCCGCCCGCCGGGCACCAATCTAATTGAGTGTTCGCCGTTGAGCGTTTTAAGACAAGAATCGAAGACGCTAGGAGTGTCTTTATTTATAGTAGTAACCAGTAACTGATACATTACATATCACATAGTATTGCTGATTATCATGGAGATCATGCATCCCCAAAAACTTGTAATTTTATTAAGTATAAAACGAGTAAATTTGCCCTTTAAAAACCAATTGCCACAGTACAATGTAGCTGAAACTCTCAACACTAACACAGGTAAATACCTGACCCAAATACTTTAATATACAAATATCAGTCAATATAAAACTCATATAAAGCAACACATTCACAAAGTTGGATAAGCCAACACACCAAGCTAGGTTTAATAACCTTATCATGCGACCTCTATATCACTACTCAATTCTTGTTCAATAAACTATGCATTTAACTTGTACATTGTAATATTAAGACAATGCGAATATCCTAATAACATAAACTTAAATAGGGCTATCCTGGTTCCCCTTTTCAAAGTAAGCACATCTTATAGAATGAATAATGAAACTAACAATATCATAACAATAGACCAATGGAACAAAGACAAAATATCAGAATATCCCAAGACCAGAAACATTGATAAATCCTGGAAACAATAAATATCTTTATTATCTGCATCAAAATAAACGTTCATCAACCACTCCAATCCAACTATTTATCTTCCATACTTTTCTTACTTCCAAATATCTCCTGGTCTAACCCCTTTCACTGCCCTTACTCCTTAATAGTCCATATCAATTTAACATGTAACAATATTTTTTTATAGCAATCTGCAAAATGATAAACAAGGTTTACAATAATAGAGGGCGCTAGAAACCCTCTTATGACTAAATAGTCAGACAAAGTTCGATCATCACTGTTTGATGTGCTTTATTAATATCCCCTTAGCAACCGATATTCAAACAACATGCATTGCTAACACTCAAATCCTATCATAAGCACTTCTTTCTATGCTCCCTATACTTCTCACTGACCTCGTTCCTGAACCAAGACCTATACTCATCACAAAAATTAGAGCGTAACCCTGGTCCTGGTCCTGGGACCAGGTAAAATATTAGCGCGCACGCACTACACCCAATGTTGGTACTGCATTCAACTACTAGTAATTAGTGTACATGCCCATGTACTACAATGTAAATTTTCCAAATTAATCAAAACGCTAAGCATCTCACATTTTAACATTAAATCTTCGCTTTCGATATAATCATATCAACCCACATGATACATCAAAATAATCACTGAAATCGTTCTGACGCAATCCACATATGTACATAACAAATATTTAGTATAACAATACCAATATTTACTAAACATAAAAGTGGTCCAAGTTCGATCAACTCACCTGTGAGAAGGACAAGCAAAGAGTGCTGGCCTGTCTCAGCACTCCGCCCTCTACCGGTCACAGGGTAATTTCCCAACCCCTTACAATACTTTAATGTTTGGTTGTTGTTGTTAATTACCAATTAATGTGCCAGATTTGCTAAAATGAACATGGGAATCTGTTTTTTTTTTGTAACCTCTTTTTTAATGACTTAATTGGCTTACTGCCCTTTGGGGGAGTGAATGAAACTTTTTTTTAAACGAGGTCTAGCTATATAGGCAAGTTTAATTGGAAGAAACCATCGTAAATGAAGCACGCCATCTGGCGATGATCTATGATAGTAAGAATCAAAGCCTTTGGTACCTTTTTTATGATAATTATTGTTGGACGTATTTTTGATTATTTATGTATTCATTCGTTTAATTTACATAGGGTGACTCTCTCAGTATTTAAACTGTTTTCCTGAGAGGCCCTGTACAAATACAGAGGAAATTGAACACAGTTTAAATAAACTTTATCATATCATTGATTATTTGTTTATGTTCTAGTTTTTCCAATATAATATGTTGGTCTTGGAAAGCGATTTGACTACGACAACGAGGCTTTTTAATAAGGGGATCCTCGAATTTGTCTTTGAAAGCTTTGAGATTGCAGAAAAGACAGGCTTCTTTAAATTGTTTCCATCGTTTAGATTTTTACCAGGTGGTGGAACCAACTTTGAGCGATATTTGACAAAAACATGAAACCATTGGTGTGAAATATCAGTGAAAAGCCTTTCTATTCAAAATACCAAAGGGCGCATTTCTCTTAACTAATTAGAGCAAGCAACAGAGCCACGCTCAACTCAGAAGAGTTTGAAATCTGTGCCTCACTTAATCTTGACGACATCACGTAGTCAAATCTGCGCACCTCAGAAATTACATCAATAATTAAATTTGATTTCTAATGAAAAGTGTAATCAACTTGGATCATGTGATTGAGCAAGCCTACATTTTTGGTATACACTAGGCATAGACTATTCTTTGTCAAAATCATTTCTAACAAACTGGCTACGAATACTTTCAATCTGTGGTCCCACGCCTATTAATTAAAACTCCCTGCATCTTTAGTGAATAGTAAATAGTGAACTGAAAACATATCTCTACAAATGTTCTTGATTTGTTGATTAGTAGTAGTAGTAGTAGTAGTAGTAGTAGTATCATTATTATTATTATCATTATTATTATCATTATTGTTATTATCATTATCATTATCTTTATGTTTTGTTGTTATCATCATTAGTATTATTGTTTAACAGACTAAAAAATTCAAAAGTTTGTTTTAAACACATTAAACGGGAATCAAAACGTAGTAAATATATACGTAAACAGAAATAGGTAAATGGAAGTGTGTTTTAACAACCAATAACACGAATGAATTGTGCACACCGCTAACTGTGGGATATGGGGTATGTTCTTCGGGAACGGGTGTGTCTGTTCCGTCAACTAGTTTGTATTGTTTATCTACCCATGCAATATATGACATACTGAAATTTGAGTTGTAATGTTTGAAAATAGGACTTGGTTATTCACTGTTTGCTAGCCTCTTATCTTGTTTCAAATATTGTTGAAATTACTCGCATTTTCTATATAATAAATTTAATTACTTTGACAAGTTTGATAATATTACTCGATCGTTCAATGCTTCTATGCCTGTTTCGCTCGAATCAAATATCATTTCAAATTACTCGCAATTTGTATAATAAATTTGACTATTAATAGAACTATCACTCATAATGAAAACACCATAGTACACATAAACCTCGTTGACTTGTACCGGTTGAAGAGTCATTTCATTTAACCAATAGAGTTGATACTCCAGTCCAGATATACTAGATCGATGACGGATTGAACAAAATCCAAGAATGGCCAAGCTTTTAAATGGTGTCATTGGGTTTTGAGTTGGTTTAGCGGTGAAATTGTGTTATTATATATTAAAAAAGGAGGAAGTTCATTAAGTGTCAGATAGCTTGTAGAAACGAATTGGCACGCAGAAACACCCACGCTACGAACACAAAACGGCATGATCGTTGATAATCTCAACAATGCATTATGAATTAGAGGTAGCCCGCACCTCTACTTGCGACCGAACATTAATTGTACCTGCGACAATTGCTTCGGGCTTCATTTTCGTGAAAGGTATAAAGTTATTGTTGTGAACGCAATTTTGGCTAATGGTTAGGTCTACGATTAGTGTCAGAGTTCAGGTTACATCTGTATCATATATAATATAGGATGAAATAACTATAGAGAGGGTACAATTTCTCTCTAACATACATGTATATGTTTAAATACATGGCATCCGCTCATGTTGTTGAAATCTAGTTGAGATTTATCACTTAAAATTTCAATTTTCTTTTGTTGCACACATATTTTACAAATAGGATCATTCTCAGAACGTCATGGGGTGATACTTGGCGAACTGTGGACTTCATGTATTGAGTACTCTACAAACAGGCGGTGCCCTGTTGCAGTTTATAGATACAATAAATAAAAAAATGACAAAAGAAAGAGCTTTTCTGGTCGGTCGCATCCCGCATATCACAAGCACACACCTCCATTGTACCATTGGCTATGACGTTGACATATTTCTATAAGGTTGACTGCACTAACTATATGAATATTTCAAAAGATATTTCTCTCTTTGGGTGAACTTTGGTTTCGGAAAGAGGAATAGGAAAATATAATGTACCATACACAATCTGAAAAGACGTCGCACACCCATAGTTTCCTGTACGTTAGTTGTATACTCGCCCTTGCTCAGAGCGTGGATAGGACTACTCAATGTTAAAACTATTACCATGATTGTGTGAATGGATTTCAATTGATTATCCACCATGGATTCTCTGATTTTATTCTGGACTCAAGTCATCTTATTAGTTTCAACAGGATCGGGAATATTAGGACAATCTCCAGGTAAAAGTATAGCATTATAGCAATATATACGGTACTTTGAAGACTTGTAGTAAACTATATGAATGCCACGCCTTTGGTAAATTGACGTGTATAAATAATAGCTATTTGAAATAAGAGAACGCTATATTATTGAAATGGAGACAATTTTACTCACGTTGGATTAAAAAAGAGATTGTGTTTGTTTTCTTGAAAAGATCTAACCCAACAGTGGGTAAAATATAGCCAATATCGGGTCAGATTGAACCCGCAATGTTAGGTAAACTGTTACAAACATGCATGCTCCCTATAGGTTTTTTTTTTTTTACCTAACATGAGTAAAAAAAATATCCAACTCCTTTTTGCAGTGTAAAACATCAATAGATTAAAAAGTTACATCAATGAACTAATATATTGTAAAATGTCTCATTTGATCTTTTGAAATGTCAATCAAGTAATAGGCGTGAAAGAAATGGAAATGTTCAATTTGACTCTACAGTAACAGTGTTAAATATTTTTGATAATACTTTACATAGGTCATCTATATCGTGTACTTCCTTAAAACAGACTATACAAAAGTCAAATTTTCATGTTTGTATACTATACTGTAAAATATAGATTTGAGCAATTCCATAAATAAGTAAAAGGTCAAAATTTCGAAATGTAATATATATGGTCTCATTCGACAGCTAAAGCATTACAGTTTATTTGTTTCTGTATAGTGATTGATCCATGAAATTCTGTTAATCATTTATGTTATTCTAAACCTGAATTCCATAGATTCAAATACCATTAGTAAATTCAGGTGAGCTTCAAAACCTATCAAGCTCTCGACTTATTATTATTTCACATGTAAATCAGAAATATCATTAGAAGATTGTATTTTTACGTTCTTGAAAACAAAATTACTAGGTGTGTACAAATAAAGTTATTCATATTGTATGTCTTTGGGCTTTGATGTGTATGTGTAAGTAGCCGTAACAGACAGTCTTTAGCCTTTAGTCTGTAAGTACATGTATTTGTAGATTTTTAAGAGAAGTAATAACCGACCTAAATCTACTTAAGTTGAAAACAGATTGAATCTAATTATGATACCTTAACGATTGTCATTAAGCAGCTTTTCAACAAGATGTTTTGTTTAACGAAAAATCTTCGAGTTTGAACCACTGTAGAAATTTCTTGATTTTCCTGCGATGTGAAAGTTCCTAAAGGACATGGATTTTGACAGTGAATAAATTGTTTATTGTTTTCTTTTCGTTACAATTTTATTGGTCATATACATCCATGAAGTTTGTTTGGTTGTTTGTTAGTTTGTGAAATCAACAGGGATAATTTACCACAAATAACATTTTGAGGTCGGACGTTCAGAGTCTGGAAAGGTGCCAAATTGTGTCACCTACAGTTCATAGTCTGACACAAAAGCTCTCAAAAAATTCAATTTTATTTGAAATAATTCAAACCAAACATAAATTATTGTAGGTTTATGAACAAATAATTTGTAGATTTTGTGCATGTGTTTTTTTTAAAGGGGAACAGATATACAGGATTTGTTCAGTTTGAATAATGCACATCCGACCCCTCATAATGCTCGGCCGACTCCCCAAAAGATCAATCCCTATCTGAATTTTGTCAATATCGATCAACATCTTTTCTACACCAAGTTAAAAAGTGATATCTTAGATACCAATTCATTCAGAAAATTTAAGACTTAGCTAATAATATCACAGAGATTTTAACTTTAACTTAAAGATAAAGTTGAGTTCTGGTCATGCGATTGCATTTTGATAGAACAGTGTGGAATCGATCATAAACAAGTTTATCATGTAGCTTATACGCATATATGTGTGTATTGCAAGGCTCTGAAATCATTAAAATGATAAGAAATTTGGCCCAGTCTTGGTATAAATAACAAGCACTGTACACAGAAAGATGAATATGGGACTACACAAACGTGTGGCATAAAAATGTGGTCCTCATTTTTAAGCTGTTTCATGTCATATTTATAATATGGTGGCATTTGAAGAGCAATGCTTTTCAGGTAACATTTTTTCTTATATATTCTTCCATATTTGCAAAATAAAAATAAAAACGCTCACAAATTATTGTTCACCTCTCTCCATAACTCAACCTTTTCTTTAAGTTGAAAGGTCTGAAAACAGTTTTCTCTGATGTAAGTCCGACCCCCACATTTATGCCTGTATTTTCTTCACTTTAATTTATTGGTTATTTTTGCTATGATGGAGAGATAACCCAACTCAGATGTCAAAGTGAAATGGATGTTTTTCCTTCAAATCAAACAAGGTGTCGCTCCACCAATTGTATGCATTTACGTCCAACCTTCATGAAGTAAATAATCACCGAATAGGCCATTTTCGCAATGTAACCGAATTGATACATAAGTGTCACGATATGAATTATTTCATTCACCTGATACGAATAATAATATTTCAATAGTCAGAATGCAAATTGCATAGGCTACATTAGGTTTTGCTATGTAGTACAAGCCATAAGTACTGTCCTACCTAGCAACAACTAAATACACACAATTTGCATTTTAAATATTGCGATATACAATTTCTCGTAATTGGTGAACAAAATAATTCTTATAGAGGCCCTTCACAAAGGCATATGCACGAATTTGGTTAGATTACGAAAATGTCCTATTAAATGAACACAACACCCGAGGTCGTGTGTTCGATCCTCGCTGTGTGATTACCTCCTGAGACAAGATGTTCAACCCATATCTGACCTCTCGACCCAAATGCGTATCTGGCAATGCTGGGTTCATAATAATTACAGGGTTCGTAGAAGGAGCAGTATAGTAACACTAAAGTGACTACCTCGGTTATTGATAAGACCACATTATTATTATACCAATGAATTATTAGAATCAAATTTAGTCTACTGACGTGAGATGTTCGAAAGCGAATTTCATTGTTCTGAGTTGATTTCCTTATTCTTCCGATATAGGGCTGATTGGTAGTGTTTAAAACCATTTACGTATTTTGTCTTTCTTTCTGTAGGTGATGTACGACTGGTTGATGGTAGTTCCACTCTGGAAGGAAGGGTAGAGGTGTATTATGATAACGTGTGGGGTACGATATGCAACCGAGGATGGGATAGTACAGACAGTGGTGTAGTCTGCAGACAGCTAGGTTTGTATGAAAACTCGTCATGTTTACAATCCAATAGGCTGAACAATAGTAATTGAGAAGCAATAATGTAAATATATGTAAATAAAAATATAAAATATATTTTCTTTTTAATACAATATATTTGCTTTTGGACCAGACAAAATAAGGAAACCAACACAACTTCCTAGAAATCACTTTCTCTGAAACTACTCTGAAAATTAGAGACTGAAAATACTCTGAAATATGAGACTGTGACTATGACTAAAAGTACGTGAGCCTTGACTACTATAGCTCAATTTCTTCTTATTAATATTCTTCAATCTTCTTCTTCTTCTACCTTTTCTTTTTTCTCTTCTCCTTTTTTCTTCTTTAACCTTTTTCTTCTTCATCTTCTCATCCTATTTTTTCTTCTTTATTATATCTTTCTTATTATACTTCTTTGAATCGACTTGATTTGAATTTTTAATTAATCTGTGTAACTATAACAAAAGTCTTCTTCAAAGCCATTGGTATGAATTCAAATGAGTTATACAAACGCAGATTGCAATGTAAATAAGATATCAGAAAGGAAGTACAAAATTGCCTTGAAAGGAAGGATTTGTAACAAGAGAGAATGGGAAAGAGCAGGGAATGCTGAAGAAGAAAAGATCATTTTTGTTAAAGCATGAAAAGGGAAATGCCCAAAAGAAAAGAAATGGGGAGAGAAAAATCATAACACCATGTTTTTTATTCTTAATTATTATTTCTCAAACATCATTTTGAATGGGTAGCTCGTCATAGCCGAAATGATGTTGAATAGTACATTTAATAATTTAATACAGATATAGCCATTTGATATGTGTAAATCTCTAACCCATCATCCTTATAAAACATTACTGTATGTCCCGGTTACTTTATCACTGTTTCTTTCATTGACGTTGGATTGTCTTTGTAATGAAACACGAAGATATTGAGTCGATATTGCATGTATTTGGAAGTAAAGGAATTATAGACACTCAGAAGCATGGATCAATATTAAACCAGGGCTCCCTATGATGAACTGATTCAGGCCAGGTATTCCAACATTGTTCTATTTTGCTTTGTTTATTTCCATTTGTGGAATGGGTCACCCTTATTGAAACATATGTTATTTAACACAGGACTCTAGGATTAACAGGGTTTTTAATTGTGAAATTTCCACTGTCATATTTAATATAGGTTTTCAAGTTTCTTTGAGCAGTCCAAGTTTCGGGGCTGGCATTCCAACACAAAGTATCTGGTTAGCTGACGTACAGTGTGAATCATCCGACCGACGTCTGAACGAGTGTGTTACAGACGGCCAATGGGGACAGACCTCTACATGCCCTCATAACAACGATGTAGGTGTTAGGTGCTCAGGTAAGTCTTCAAGCCTCATGAAATTACCTTTTATTTCCTCGATGATCTACATATCGAAACTGATAATCGACCTGTGTCAACATAATTATTTTGTATGTATGTCTTCTTTTTTTCTTCTTTTTTTTTACTCTTTAGGTTTCTTTAAAGGAGAGAAATATTTACCCCGAGTAGACCAAAATTATTTGTATGATTAACTCCGTAAACATAGGCGAATATTTATTCCAACACAATGATACTCAAAAAAGGTTAAATCCTGTTTACCCGTCTCGAAAAAAAAGAAAAACGTATGACTAAAGTCATTGTACATTATTTGTTTTCCATCGTCATATTCACTTTGTTATTATTCCTTATTATTGTATTACTAGTAGACGAAATAATAAATGCTATATGAAGTTCAATACAACAAAATATATGAACCGACAGATTCAACATTTTCCCGATTGATGTTATATTTTACAGAGACCGGAGGCTGCGTTTAAAATCATAATTGCACGTGAGAATTCTGAATCTTGAAGTGATTATATTTCATTGAATAATGCTATGCATTCATTATTTATGCTACTTGAGAGCAGCAATAGACGTATTTTCAACAGAAACTTTAAATCTTAATTTGTTTAAACGTAATCCATATTTATTTTTTACACCTTTTTAGGCTTAAACGTTGGGATCGCGCCAAATTACCAAGGGTGCTACCGTTTTGAAGACATTCCTGTATCAAACTCAGCAATTACTTTCGAGTCAAATACTATTGAGACTTGTTTAGAAAGCTGTTCAATAAATTTTATGTTTGCTGGTTTATATGGAGAGACATGTACTTGTGATGACCAGATAAATCCTTCAGCCCAGCCTATTGATAACACTATGTGTAGAATGCCATGCCCAGGTAACTCTGCCCAGCTATGTGGTGACGCTGAAGTCAACATGGAAGTCCTATCTGTTTATTCTGGTAAGCGTTTTCATATCTCAAAATAAAGAAATAATTATACAAATAAAATGTCTGAATTGTAGTCTAATACAATTTAACGAAACATTCCAGACTTAGGTTTATGGTTTTAAAATTTGGATTAAAAATTAAAAAAATATTGTCATCTAAGATGCTGCTTGTAAGTGTCGGCTTGCATTGTGATGTAGATATACAGTAGGCTTGCGGATGCACCATGCACCATGCCACTCCCGCCACCCATCCTCTCCAAGCGCTCATATAGTTCTCCTTTGAACTATTAGCTAAGAAAGATAACCAACAGTCTTTTTCAAGACTATACCAACAGTCTTTTTCAGGACTACAAAAACCTCAAGAAAATACCGAAAGTCCTTTGCAAGACTCCTCAATCCTCCCTCTCTCTCTCACATGGTGCACCCGCAAGCTTACTGTATATTGTCATCTTCTTTCAAAAAGATGTTCTTTTGCTTATGAATTTATCGTAATTTCATATCAGTCGTCTGTTAATGGCCAGAAAGGTGTTAACTGATATCATTCTTAAAAGATTTAATGCCCTTTAGATCCTCAACAGATCTCACACGTTCAACAATTTTCATGATTACAAAGGTTTAATGAAAAATCTATTCAAGTTGAACCAGACAGTTTGACATTGAGCAATCTTGTTTTGTGTTTCATTTGATTTGTTTTCTTCGACTTCCATTTTTATTTCAAATTATCTAGTGTCTGTTGGCGATGGCTACGTCTCATCACCATGGTTTCCTGGTAATTACGTCCTATCAAGTACTGATACATTCCAACCAGACGACCTCATCTCCAGTACCGATGTCACTGCGTCATCAGGGATGCTTTTAATTCGAGTCCTGGCTTTCGACCTAGCTCCTGGAGACACACTGAGTGTGGAGGTAGGAGGTATGACCATCAACCCTACAGAATCTGGTGAAACCATGCTGTCCGGGCTACTAGAGATGGCACTGGTTGTGACTGCGACGTTGACGAGGGCTGCGAACTCGGCTGGAGCATCGGGATATCTTATCACCTTTACCAGTGAGTTAGCCTTTTATTGCCGAGAAAATCAACGTTTGGTGTTTTTAACGCTTTAAAAAAAAAAAATCATACGATATATCGTTTTCCTACACTTAATATAAAGGAAGTGAAGACAATTCCAGATATCCTTCAGTTTTTAGTCCCTTCCGAAGGAATGGGATGAGTAGCCTTTCTAATTGGTCCTCAAACGCAGGATTCCTAAGGTATTCGCTCTATCCAGCGAGTATCCCTCCCTTCATTTGCGTAAATTAGTAAAGACGTTTCTATAAACTTTTACTATAACAAGTGAGGAGTAAACTTTGAGAATTGTTTAAATCAATGAGCGGTTAAGTCATATGACTCTAAATCCAAAAATTGGGGTTGGTTTTAATCCCACGTAGGCACTAACGTCAATTTACATCCACTCCAACCCCCCTACCTTCCCCGCCCTCCAGGTGTAGATCATTATTAGAAGTAGTATTATCATTACCATCATTATTATTAGTAGTAGTAGTATTATCATTATCATTAACATTAGCATTATTATTATTATCATCATTAGCATCATTGTTATCATTACCATCATCATCCTCATCATTATTATCACTATACAGGAGATCCGACCACAACGATGCCTCAAACTACGCCGACCATAGTATCAGCCATCCCGATGACTAATCAACCAGAGGTGACTTCATCACCAGCTGTACCAGTTCCACCAGTTTCACCAGATCCCAACTCTACAGCAACCCCTCCAGATGAGGTCACGACTGCAGCTGTTGTGCCAGCGACCGCTCCTCCTTCCACAGATGAAGCCACTGACCCTGCAATGACTACAGCCTCTGTCACCATACCTCCAAACCCATGTAAGCATTCTATCCACCGCACACCAGGGACCCGTTTCACAAAGCCTGTTTTCAATGACAAATGACAAATATAAGTGACAAATCTGCTGATAACCAATCAGAAGCAAGGATTTCAGTAGCTTATAACAACAACTGTCATTTGTCACTGATGACCAGTTTTGTGAAACAACCCCCAGGCGTCAGTTTGATTGCGTTCTTACCTGCGCATATCAAGACTATGAAAACAATCGGCACCTACGCTTTGTATTAAATTCAAAACATTCAATGATCATGATGATCTCACTTACACATAGCACATTAAGGACAGCACCAATCACCGACGCAGCTCTACGCCAATACATTGACGCATCGTGTGCAATGGGCGTTAGAGGAAAGCTTGTTTGATTGCTGTAGATGATATTATCTTTTCAGAGATGGATCTATTGAAAAATAGTTTTTTACTGACTGAATACGGGTAGTTTTAATGTACTTTAAGTTATTTCTCTGAAGTGTGCTGTAAAAAGGACGTATAACACGTTCTCAACTTCTTTCGAAAATTAACTTAGGGGTAATTTAAAAGACCTTATTTCATGTGTCGTAGAAATAATGTTCGGCTAACGTAATATGTCACTGTCATATTGACAGATTTCAAAAGGTGACTTACAAAGCCATTGAAATCGCCCTATGTTTATTATCCGAAAGTAGTGGGATCGTGTTTTATTATTACGTATCTTAAATGATCACGCATCTGAAAAGGCATCTCATTCTGTATTAGACCCGGTCACACCGAGAATGGCAACATATTGTACACAATACTTAAATTACCGAGTGAATGACCCAAAATCAGTTGGTTTGGTGTCGGTTTGTAATCGGTTTGGCGATGCGACTGTAATGGATAATGATTGTTATAACAACGCTGTATTGTTCATTGTTAATTTACCAATAAACTCTTGCTATATCAGTGTCACGCATACTGTATGTGACAACAGAATCTATATTTTTAATCACACATTTTCCCAGTACGAAATTAATCTGTAAATGGTGGTTGTATTTATACCATACTTGGATAATGAATCAAGCACATATATGTTTTTATCCGTTGCTTTCCACAGCCACATGCGACCATCCGGTTGTAGAGGAAGGAAGAATCGTAGGTGTAGACGGGAGTCCATACCAGGTGGGTCAGAGTGTGGTGTTAGACTGTGATGACGGACGAAACCCAGTGGAGAATACCACTCTTTCGTGCCAGTCCGATAGAACATGGTTCCCTCTACCAACCTGTACCGCATCAGGAGGAATCGAAGTATGGATGATCATTGGTAAGCCCATCCTTACAGATACGTCTTTTACGTCTTTCGTCTTTTACGTCTCTCGGATGGTGACCTTAAAGGTCGGTCCCCAGACGTAGATAATCATATCTGATTAATACACGTCTGTAAAAAACCAATTACACACACACACACACACACACACACACATATCCTTAAGGCTTGTTTAGATTCGACGCGATAAACCGCCACCCCCCCCTCCCCCCTCCCCCCCCCCCCCCGAAAAAAAAATCAACTGCGCGCAATGAAGGTCATGCGTGTACCTCTGTGTTATAAGATACAGCCATAACGGCCCGAATTCACGAAGGAGGTTTGTCGACAAACCTAGGTTTATGTGCGTCATAATTATGACGCGTTTCGACGCGTTTCAAACCAAGGTTGGTCGAAACGCGTCATATGACGAACATAAACCTAAGTTTGTCGACAAACCTCCTTTGTGAATTCGGGCCATGAAGTGTGTAACATTTGCGTCATCATGAAAAAGAAATCCCCCGAGGTTTTACCGCATCTTATCTGAACGAGGCTAGTCAGTACGTTGTATCTGTGGAGGTGTCATAGTTAAGTAAATAAGTCACCGAACAGTAGACAGCAAAGCATGGGGTTCGATTCCGTGCACTCAGTTGGCAAGACATCAGCCAACATTTGCCACACTGAACTTAGTCGACAATAGTAAGTGTGTACCCGGTACCCTACGTATGCACTTAGTGCTATGGTTGCCAAAGCTAAACTGGATAATGATATTCAAAAGTTCTTCGGACACGCTACAGAGATGTAATCATCTTGTTGTAATATAAGGGCTACTCAAGAACAACATTATCTACACTGTCTTGTCTCTCTCGGCCCTTCTTCAGTCATGTGGCGCTAGCTGCGCTGCTGTGGCCATCACAAGTTAACACCATCCTTCTCTGTCAGCTATTGCTCTCGTTGCCTCTGACAGCTTTTTCCCTGTCCATATGTGGATATCTTTGAACCAGGAAATAGCAGGTCTGCCTCTTCTTCGCCTGGCTTCCACTGTTCCTATTATAAGGGACTTTCCAAGAACATCTCTCCTTACTACATGGCCAAAAAACTGAAGTTTCCTTCTGGCAATACTCTGAGCAACATCTCTGTATCCAGCTTGTCCAGTACCCATCGGTTTGTTCTTCTGTCTGTCCACGGGACCCTCTCTCGACCCATATGTAATAAATGCGTATTACATGTCGGATCCATTCTGTGTTCAATGCACTGTGCCCTGTACCTAAGCTAATTACAGTGTGTTAAAAGAACAGCATGGCAGTACAATGACACAATTGTAAGAGAAGGTGTTACACCCCCTATCATACGATTTTCTTTAATATGAAAAGCGCTTTTCGAACGGAGAAACAAAATCCTAGAAAAGATGGAGACACTGAAATTACGTCACGGAATTGTACCTATTATGGGAACTTAAAAGATCGTGATTAGTTACAAATTTCAAACTTTCTACTCTATTTTTTTTGTTTTGTATTTACTCGGTTGTTTTGGTGTAAACAATACTCGTATTGCTTTGATGTATGGTATAATTATGTAAGAAAAACCTAGAAGACAAAAACATGTAAATATATGTTTATTTGTTTATTTTTAACTTTTTCAGTGATCGCAGTGGTGATTTCTCTCTGTCTTGTCATCCTAATCGTCATCTTCCTAATCATGGCCGTCGCGTTCGGGAAGAAAAAAAAGAGGTAATGTTATTATAATACACTCTAGAGCGCACATCGTCTTGCACTCATCAGGGTAAAACACAAACATGACGAATGCAAAACAGAAAATTAAAGCCCCACTGTCCTACTTGTAGGTACTTGCTCCCTCTATATAGAAAACTTTCCCAATCGGTGTCAGTTGGTCCCCCATGATCCTCTGTTTCTTATGTTATTTGAGAGCTGAGTTTATGAGATAGCCACCTGTCAGTGACATCGCTGTGTGGTCTAATCCCTCCTAGCCAAACGAGTACTGACGGTCTTTAAGTACGTCTATTATTCTAGCTCCTCATTATATTATCCGATTTCGGATTCCTGTTAATCATAGTTGGAAATGAAATAAATATGAATATAACATGAAATAGTGATTTTACTCTGAGTGCAATACAAAAAGCTTCAGTATGTCTATTCTATCACTTTCCATATTCGCACCTGTAATGTATCTAACACCTTTGATAAAGCGTTATTTACTTGATGATTTTGGTTTGTATATCGGAGATAATGGATGAGTGCGTCTAGTACTTTGAAAAACATTTTTCTGTTATTTGCTCATATTGTATGATTTAAAAACAAATCATATTCGAATCGTGGAAATACAATGAATTAAGATTGTTCAATTTTCTCATTTGTTAAGGCGGGAAGACGATCGGGGTCCTGTTATCACACACTTAGCAACTCCTACTGATAATGACTACAGTGGACGACCAGCTCTTATCCCCATCAACGAAGCATCAGCAAGTGGATTAGTACGTCAAGGTACCAACATAAGTACCGCCTCCACCTTAGGTATTCCACCTCCACCTCCTCCTGCTGCTACAACTCAATCTCATGATGCTGTACAACAGACAGAACCTATCATCCTACCACCACCACCCTCTCAACCTGCCCCCGACCCACCCTCACCAACCGAGACCTACTACCCTCCCGTAGACTACCCTGGGTCTGCTAATCGTGACTCCGTTATCTCCGGTGGTACGGCGCAGTCTAATGGCCATGTCAACAACCTTGGGAACGAGGAGAGACAAGCTGTAGATGAAATTGTCAATGCTGTCAGAGACTATGATGATAGTCCGGGTGTTGGTTTGTATGGTTCGGTGCCTCCAAGACATCTTCGAAGTGGGTCTACCTTGTCAGTGATCTCCAACCCAGGCCGTGTTACTGATGGTAGATCAAGCCCGAGGTACGGCGGAAACCTAAGATCAGTTCAGTTTGATCAACATAATTATAGGCCATAAATTTAAACCCTAAATTTAGGTGGCGAGGTTCTTTCGACCAAAGTAGATGCCGAATGTAATTCAAATAAACAGACACACTACTACTTATAGAACATATAGGTCTTGTATTACTATACTATGACTCATGGAAAATGTAATCTTCAGAACTTTGAAAATATGAATTTCAAGTATAGCTTTCGTATTTAGATTCGATGACTTATATATATATATTCACTGTGCAGAACCTCTAACGGGCAGCAAAACTTGCTGATACCAAATTTGATTATTAATTTCCTTTGTTCTTCACTACATACTATTTGTTTTCCTTTATTGTATATTCCGTCGTAAGTTCATTATAATTTTAGTTTATAAAATATCTATATAACCTTTACTGGGCAGCAACGACTATTACGATACCAAATAGATCATTTTTTACTTCTGTTCCTCACCGCAGACGTTTATACTGTTTTCTTGTTCGTTATCGTACATACCTTGGTTTCTTCGTTAGGATTTTAGTATAAACTTATATATAATACTCACAGACGTACATAAGGATGTTGTGTTATATTGTATTCATATATCAAGATACAATGTAAAACTTTATTTAGTGGTGATGTTTTCGGTGACGATCTTTATTTCCAGTATTAGATAACAGTACTGAAACAAGGGATTCTGGATAATCTCAAGTGACATGCATCTATACAGATATTTTGTGAAAGGTATGAAAGGCCACATACTCTTCATAGTTATTTTCTTAGGTAAATGTATATGTGTCCATGAACAATTATCCATAGAGACAATTATTTATATACATGTATTACTCATCTACGCACTCATAAACATATATTCAAGAAAGTTTCAATAATCATTTTGAAATAGTTGTATCAATTAACCAGAGAAATGTTTTACAGAAAGCGGTCATAAATATAATCCTAACAAATATCGGAGGGGCGGGATGACTGTTCTGAACAAAAAAGTATTATCTCATCGCACACCCCACCCCTTTCCCGCCCGAATGGAGCACGTGGATGTTAAAGTGTTTCAACCAGAATAGCGACTCTGACTTTTATGGCCTAGCATGACCTGTATGTAATATGATTTTTTTTTTTTAGAAAGTCATGTAATAATCTTTTAAAATATAATCATTTTTACTTCAAAATTCTAAATCTTTATTGTTGCAGATAATCAGTAAAATATCCGTCTGTATATCTAATTTCTTATCATATACCAATGTCTTTCTTTCCGAAATATCTATACCTGAAAAAGGATTGAAATATATATTATTTTCAATTAAAACACTGTAGTAAAAGATGGTTGATGTGAGAATGGATATGTAATTCAGCTTGTTTGGAATAAAAGTACTGTGTTAAACGAGGAGCTTATAGCCATATACAGGGATTACAAATACCTCATTATTACACTGGGTTCAAATGGAGACAATTATAAGTTAAGAGTGAGAGTGACCAAAAAAAAGGAAAAAGCTAAAAATAGAAACGACAGGATTATGAATGATAGAGAGAAAGGAAGATAAAGATCGGAGAGCTCCAGAGACAGAAAAACACACACACACACACACACACCGTATCCTGACACCTACCCCCTGAATAACCACCCCCGGATAACCACCTTTAGGATAACCAGCATCTAGGACAACTACCCCATAGGACAAGTACCCCTAGGGCAACCCCCCTCTGAACGACTACCTCTAGGACAACTACCCCCTAGTACAACCACCCTCTAGGAAAACTACCCAATGACATCTTCCCCCAGACATAATAGCCCCCATAAAACTACCTCCTAGGACAACCACCCTCTAGGACAACTACCCCCGGCATATAGCCCCCACAAAACTACTCCCTAGGATAACCATCCTCCAGGACAAGTACCCCCCAGACAACTATCCCATAGGGCAACCGCCCTCTAGGACATATACCTCCTTGACATCTGCCACATATGGTAACTACCACCCAACTAACCCGGACAATAAGCACTTAGGGTAATGATCAATCGGGGGTAGTTGTCCTAGAAGTTGGTTGTCCTACGGGGTAGTTGTCTGAGGTAGATGTTCGGGGATAGTTGTTCTAGAGGGTGTTGGCCTAGGGGGTGGTTCACCTAGGGGTAGTTAGCTGGGGGGGGGGGGGGTAATCAACCTAGAGGGTAATTGTCCTGGGGTAGTCGTCTTAGAGCAAAAGAGGGTGATTTGCCTAAGGGGAAGTTGTCCTAGGGGTGGTTATCCGAAAGGTTGGTTGTCCAGGGGGTAGGTGTCTGAGAACCCACACACAAACACATATGAATATTACACACAGAGAGAGAGAGAGAGAGAGAGAGAGAGAGAGAGAGAGAGAATGTAATGAACTTTTTACAATGTTTACAGATCTGTATATTATATTGATATTAGGAATACATAGATCTATTCATTCACACATTGTTTCATTGTAATCAAAAACGATATACAAATATATATACATGGAGAAAGAAAGAGAGAGAGATAGAGAGAGAGAGAGCGAGAGAAAGTTCATAACATCATATAGGATATTGAACATTTGAAATGAATAAATGACATATAAACATATATATATATATATATATATATATATATATCACATTCATCTGACAAATAAGATATCGCATTGTTTGTTTCAAACGTGCAGTAACCATTTTGTATTCTGTGAGGTTTCCCCCATTTCAATACTTGGGCAATCTTACGATAAAGAATTATGGTGAAGCTATATTCACTTTCGTTAAAGATCCTTCCTTTACAACGTGGATACGCTTCATGATGAATGCATTGTATCACGTGATGTATACGGGCTCCCTCACATAGTGTGAGATGCACAATGGTGGCGCCGTAACAGGTGTATGCTGATGTTGTTCTGACCACGCTCATGAAATGGTTCATTGGTGTGTTCTTTCGTAAAACACAGGCTTGTATATACTTCCAAACAATTCCCCTTCTCTATCTCTCTCTCTCTCTCACTCTCTCTCTCTCTCTATTTTCTCTCTCTCTCTCTCTCTCTCTGTTTATCTCTCCCTAACTCTCTCCTCCCCCTCTCTCTCTCTCTCTCTTTAGTCCTATATCATGTCAATATACGCATACGCACAGACGCATTTTCATGAATTGTCTGATTGGTTTGCATCAAAACATTGGACGTCATCTGTTAGATTCATTGATACAATATGGTTTGTTTCATAACTGAGATGAATGATTGAATGCAAGGTTGAAAGGTCATGTGCATTTGATTGGATTTTGTCCATGTTTTCGCTTTTATTTTTGCCTGATTGTTTCTTTGCTGTTATTGTTGTTGCCCCTGTTGTTGATGTTGTTGCTATCTTTTTCATATGGGTATCGAAGTGCAAAAATTCTACCCTTAAATGCATCGGTTAACAATGTTAAATATGAGATGCGTGGAGTCCTCAGTTGTCCTCAGTGTCTATGAAATGGTGTAATATTGAAGCCCCCCCCCCCCCACCAAAAAAAAAAAAAAAAAAAAAAAAAATGCGCTTCAAAATGATCATGAAGTGCCCCAAAAAATTAAAAATCTTTGAGTGACCGGTTTTACCATACTCATGTTCCCCAATAGACTGTTGGCTTGTAAAAGTCATGGGATTCCTGACTGACCTAAAGGTTATTAATAATCATTGCAGCATAAGCTAAATCCATGATTTTGTTTGAGAATCTGAGACAAAGTTACCTAATCCCTTTCACTTTTAACTTCCCTTTTGGTGATCATCGCAAAAGTCTTTCATTGTAATTTTGTATTTCATTTTAAGTATATCAAGTATTTGAAAATTAACTTGACGATGATGACAAAATAGCTAGTGAAAAGAATATATCATATCTATATTCAATGGGAAAAATGTATTTCGATAGAGTAATGTGTTTTGTCACAATAGACCTAAGTATGGAATTTTGTAGATTGAAAGATTTCTGAATTTAAACAAAATAACAATAGCATATATTTAGTTAATAATTATGTTTTGCATACAACGCGAAAGAACGGAATCAAAGACCACTGGAATATTTTTTTGTAAAGCTTATCTGTACTAGTTTATAGGAGGGATTAGACCACACCGCAAGGTCACTGGACAGGTGGCTATCTCATCAACTCAGCTCTCAATTAACATAAGAAATAGAGGATCATGGGGGACCAATGATCACCGATTAGGCATTGTTTTCTATATAGAGGGAGCAAGTAGCTACAAGTAGGACAGTGTGGCTTTAAAGGAAAATTTAAAGACAGAAACGAATAAATATCTCATAACGATATAGGATGTTTCAAATGCCCGGATACGTATGAAATGAAATGCTCCCCAGGGAGTGGGGAATGTGCATACATTTATCGCGGGTAAGCCTGAATCCGATGACAGGGGTAATAATATATGTAGAGCGCTTAGACACATCGTTGTATCGATGTAATTGGCGTTATATAAAAGCGGAATATAATCATTAGTAGTATGTGATATGACAGTAAGGAGCGAAGCAAATTATGAAACTGGATATTCACAAATGAAAATTCTAAAGTAAAATAAAGAGGGGGAAGGGAAATAATGATTTAGAAGAAAAATGATGGAAATGTGGCGAATAAATTTGGGAAAGGGAAGTGGACAAGATTCAAGCTTTATTTGAAGGAAAGAAAACGAATATGAACATACATGTATTGCATACACGTAGTGACAACCATGAAACATACTAGATGGAGAGAGAAGGGGGATTATGCACTTTATAGAGAAAGGGGAAGACATGGACAGATCTATTATATATGGGTAGAGAAATTAGAGAGAAAAAAGAGTTACATAGAGAAACATATATCGGTAATTGATCTCTCGAATTATTATAATCCTTACGGGGGAAAAGCTATACAAGCATTTTTCATCTTTGAAAGTAACATGTTTAATGGGTCATGGTCCTGACGATCTCGATTAAGAGACAGATTATCAGCGTCATAATTGCAGCTGATGGAATATTGTGCTGGTATGTTGTCCATGAATAAATGACAGTCAAAAGGTGAATGCATGTATTGAACTGGACCAAAATCAACGTGTAGAAGGGGAGAATAAGGACAACATCAAATCACACACGACTCATTCAGTCATAGGTTGCAACGAAGTAATTTGTGCAATGCAATCGATCGCTAGACGCCACGGAAGGGA